TACATAATTTTTTATACTGGCCCCCCGTGGGAATCGAACCCACAACCCTGGCATTGCAAACGCCATGCTCTATCAACTGAGCTACATCCCTGCCGGCCATTCCCTCCCCTACCCTGGACGACGCTGGGCCAATTGTGCGCCGCCCATGAGTCTCCCGGTCGCGGCCGGCTGCGACAGAGCCTGGATTCGAACCAGGATCTCTAGTGGCACAGTTAGCACTGCGATGCAGTGCCTTAGACCACTGCGCCACTCAGGAGTACATATAGGAAGGACTCCTATATCGTTGTAGTGACTGGGTGTATTGATACACCATCCAAAGTGTAATTAATAACTTCACCATGCTCAAAGGGATATTCAATGTCTGCTTTTTGTATTTTTACCCATCTACCAATAAGTGTCCTTCTTTGCAAGGCATTGGGAAACCTCCCTGGTCTTTGTGGTTGAATCTGTGTTTGAAATTCACTACTCGACTGATGGACCGTACAGATAATTGAAAGTGTGGGGTACAGAGATGATGGTAGTCATTCAAAAATCATGTTAAACACTATTATTGCATACAGAGTGAGTCCATGCAACATTATGTGACTTGTTAAGCACATTTTTACTGCTGAACTTATTTAGGCATGCCATAACAAAGGGGTTGAATACTTAATGACTCAAGACATTTCAGCTTTTCATTTTCTATTAATTTGTAAGCATTTCGGGGAAAAGGAAAGAATCCACTTTGACATTATTGGGTATTGTTTGTTGGCCAGTGACAACTAATCTCAATTTAATCCATTTTAAATTCAGGATGTAACACAACTAAATGTGGAAAAAGTCAACATTATTATTCAAATGTTCAAGCGTGTGTGTTTAGGTTAGTGTGAGTATATGTTACTATACAGTGTGTGTGTGTGCTTGTAAGCAGGTGTGTTTATTTTGCATGTGAGTCTATGAGAGGTAATAATAGTGTGGGGTATAGTTAGTAGTGGACGGGAATGACGAAGGTGGTCAGAATGGGACAGTGGCAGGATGGGTGTTGGTGACAGGGCTCTTGTACCGTCTCATCTGCTCGACTGATCCGAGGGAATCTGGGTCACTTCCAGCCCGTTCACATGCTACTGTGTGTTCCCATCTCCTTCCCTGTTCCCTCTCCTCTGCCCTGGGCACGCTACGACCCAGCTAGCTCCATGCTGATGACTCAAAGAAAATGTACTTGTCTCTTATGGCAAATTGAGAGAGAAATGAACAGCATTAGTCTGTGTGGTTGCCTGCACTATCCCCCCCTCTCTGGTGTCTCATTCTTCTGTTCTCTCATTTATTCTAGTATAAAAACATATCTAGTGGATAGTTATTGTTGAAAGCCATATCTATCATGGCTTTCATGGCTGTCTATTTTTCTCTTTGACGCTCTACTCTGCTCGCCATTTGTTGTTGAGAATGAGCACAGCGGACAGGTACAGTACTAGTAAATCAAGCCAGCAAATGGAATGGTATACTACCTCTCCAACTTTCCAAGTAGCGCTATAGTCTGTGCTGCTGTCCAGTCAAAAAAAAAAATAATGAATCTTGATTGAAAACAAATATTCATTCATCTCAACTGATCATGGCAAAGCTAATGAGAAAAGCAATAAATTGTTACACAGATATATATTTTAATCCAGGCTTTACACGTCCCGTACAGGGTCACTTGAGAATGTTTTCTAGCATAGTGCCTGTGTATCTGATAGAATGGACACGTTACCAACAGCTCTAGAGTACAAACATTAACCTAATGTTTTTGCTTTCATTATGTTAAATGTGAATGTATCCGGGTGCTTGTGACATCTGTTGTCTTGTGTAGCTTACCCTAGTGATGCAAGTAAGCCCCTTTGAACAGAGAGAGAGAGATAGATGGCAATCTCCCTATAAGGTGGTTGGGTGATGTGATTAAGTCATTAATTAAATAATTTGGTAAGCCATGAGGGAAGGCAAGCCACAGATATATGGATTTTGAATTTTATGACCTACAATAGTGCAATAATCCATCTTAAAATAGAGGTGGTCAACAAACAATACTGACCATGAGAGATGAGATTACTCTGAATCTGTTTGACTGAAGGCCTCTCTAGTGGATGTATTAAACCATGCAGTTATTTTAAAAGATATTAAGTAAAACAAAACACCAAACATAAATGCTGCTCTTAACTTCTAATATATACCAGTAGGCCTATTAGTATTATAAATTATTATATCATTTTATGGTATAGAATTGTTCTCTCTATCAGTGTGTGTGTGTGCGCGTGTGTGCGTGTGTGTGATTTTAGTTTAGCAGTACATTTGAATTACTCGACAAATGGAATGGACGGTGTCCCATCTCACAATTAAAATTTGCCATCTTAAATAACAGAACTTGTTTGGCCAATCATGCTCACAATCAGTGCCGAGTTTGGTTGTGGATGGGGCTGTGCGGTCTATGACGAACAAAGCAATAGGCAGAACAGAAGTCTTTGTATGAGATCCACTGTCTGTGTTTTGTGTGGTTGAGTTGGTGAATGTCAGTCCGGGGATATCGGTGTAAGGATACTGTCTTTTGGCACAGTTGTGTATGCATTTGTAATATGCTCACTGTAGGCCTGCCTACCTTTTAAAAATGTTTTTTCTACAATGAGTAAGTATTCCATACCTGGATTGGCAATGTAGCCTAATTGTTTATTTTTCTGTTAATCATCGACAAATATTTATGATTTCATATCTTACCCCTGTTAACCAATATAAGGCCTATTTGAAAATGATAAATGCGCACATTATGCATGATTTGGAAAATGTGGTAGTAGGCAAACATTATAGGCTACTTAAAACCATAGACTTAAACACAACCATATACGTAGTAATTACTATATATATTTTTTCAATTAGTTACAGTATTTTGGTTTTAGCTTAGTATATTTGCCCCTAAAGAAATGTGCGTGTTTAATTTGAATTTCTAAAAACGTGAATGCAGTTTTATCATAGGTCTAGGGCTAGGCTGAGTAAAGGAGTAACAAGATATTATTAATTACTATGTTTCCATATGAAATCAAGATTTACTCCGCCATATAGGCTTACTGCAAGCTTGGACATAGACTAAAGGTTTCTGGTATGTTTGTGCGCTGTTCCACTGTCTTGCGTAGCCTAATTGTTCATTGACAGACCTCCTTTTATGATATCGAACATTTCACCATCTTGTATTGATGCGCTCTTCATAGAAAAAGCAAGTGTCCTTGTAAATTTAGGTTAGGATTACAGGATGAAATATTCAAAGACATCTAAATATTTCAAACCCACACCTTGTCACTCATCTTCACAATTACTTTTCCCGTTTGTCTGTGTCCGGTCTGGAGGCCTTATCCTTTCTTTACGCTTATTCTCCGATCGGTTCTAAACCTATAATAATAGGCTATGGTTTTATGAGTGACCCCACTAGTAAGAACTTTAATCGTCTTAATCCGTCTACTGCTCTCATATAGAGTATGTCCATCTGGTTACTTTGCAACATTACATAGCATAGGCTAACAACCTACTTTTATCACCTTGTTGACAAATGTGCAAATAACCCATTTCTGTGTTTGATTATTATTATTAAGCTATTATGATCATATCAAACATTTTTATAAAATATTATTTCTTTTGATAAAGTAGGCCTATTATTTACACTTTATGAAGGCAGTAGACAAACATTCAGCAAAAATTAACACATTTTGTAGGTATTTCTGTGATGATGTGGAGAAACTGTTTCGCCGAATAGCGAAACGCGCACGTTGCATGAGATGAACAGCTTCTTGCGCAGAAGGCAGGCAATTTCGTAACCCCGCGCCATGAGCCTCCCATAATTCATGCAGAAAGAGCCCTAAGGGATTCAGTTGATGTGTGTGTGTGTGTGTGTGTGTGTGTGTGTGTGTGTGTGTGTGTGTGAGTGAGAGAGAGAGAGAGAGAGAGTCTGAAAATAATATCAGGCTTTTCCGTTAGAATGAACTTTACCACTGTAGCCAGCCATGAAATAATGTGACCCGACACTTCAAACCATCTGCGCTATCTATCCGCCTTCTTCTTTACTAAATCAGCCCGTGCACAAAACGGAGTGTATCTGATACTAAACCCGAGTAGCCCGGCAGTGGCACGATAGTTTTATACACAAACATTCTGTTTTTTTCTGCAGTGTTTAGTAAATAACGTATCTTTGATGGATTAGGCTATAGGCTAGTGTGCAGTGTGAATTAGAAATCGAAGCAGTGATTTTATCTGAGAAGAAGCAGATGCAATAAAATCTGTCATGGCAGATCAAATAAAGATATAGAATCTGTCAAATATGGCAGATCAAATAAAGATAAGCCTATAATATGTCGATGTAGCCTACATCATGAGCAGGATCGAATTTGATGCGAATCACTTCAATTGTTCTAGCATAAAATCCTAGATTCATTCAACATATAGCGTAGTGCCATATTTTGTTATGATCAAATGAGTCCCAACAATTTTAGAGCGTGGATGAACGGGTTTGCATTAGGCTATACGACCATTCAAGATTATGCTATTGTAGTCTCAGAACATTCGTTGTCTGTTTTTATTCTTTATTTGTAGAATATTACAAACGGTATAATAATCAGCCAATATCTGTCGTTCCTGCTGCGGGGTGTTATTTTCCATTTTCAGTGAAAGAATTAGGCTAAACTTGTGAACGTATTGCGTTTTAATTGACTCGTCGCTTTTCTTCTGCACAGACATGACTTACAAAGGAGGGGATGTAGGAAAACATGGAAGGCAATTAAAGGTTTAAAGACAAAAAGCAAAGGTCAAAATGTTTACATTCTAAAAAGGTGCTGTTGAGCACTGGGAGGTGCTGAATTCTCTTAGCGCTCCTTTCCGCATGATTGGTCAACTTGACAGTGATTGACGGGCATCCATGGCAACCAATCTGCCAAGTCCAATAGAAAATCAGCAGAGGGGTTGACTGTCTTTTTCCCCTTCAAAATAAATCTCGGATCTAGTTTTTATACTCTTGTAATTTCAACCGACCAAGTTCACCAGCCGAGGGCATCGTTCCTCAGTGTTTTTAACGGTTGATCTGTTAACTTTGGTATTGCCTTTTTGTTTGGATCCTACGATCAGAGAGCGAGAGGGAGAGAAGGGTAAGCGCGAAAGCGGAGCGTGTGAGTGAGAGAGAGACGGAGGTGAAACTAGAAGCCTCCATGTTTCAGCTGCCTATCTTGAATTTTAGCCCCCAGCAGGTTGCGGGGGTTTGCGAGACTCTGGAAGAGAGCGGGGACATTGAGCGCCTCGGTCGCTTCCTCTGGTCTCTGCCCGTAGCCCCGGCAGCCTGCGAGGTCATCAACAAGAATGAGTCGGTGCTTAGGGCGCGGGCCATCGTGGCCTACCACACCGGGAATTTCCGAGAACTCTACCACATTCTGGAGAACCACAAGTTCACCAAAGAGTCTCACACTAAACTACAGGCCCTGTGGCTGGAGGCGCACTACCAGGAGGCAGAGAAGCTGCGGGGCCGCCCGCTAGGGCCAGTGGACAAATACAGGGTGCGGAAGAAGTTCCCTCTACCCAGAACGATATGGGACGGAGAGCAAAAGACCCACTGCTTCAAGGAGAGAACCCGACATTTGTTACGAGAATGGTACTTGCAGGACCCTTACCCGAACCCGAGCAAAAAGAGGGAGCTCGCGCAGGCTACTGGACTTACTCCCACACAAGTGGGAAACTGGTTCAAAAATCGTAGACAAAGGGATAGAGCGGCGGCTGCGAAAAATAGGTAGGCTATAATGCTGCAGTCTGTACCTTTTTGTGTTTTTATCAACGATGGTCTGAGGTGGTTGCAACGTTTATTGTTCAATTCTTAACAAAAAGGACTGCGTTGCGACTGCATCTCAGTCAGCCTAAGCATTTTTTCAATAAAAGCTATTATTTTTTTCAAAAATGGTTCTATCGAATTGTTTGTATTATGTTATGTTGTTTTGAGTAAACATTGAAATATAGTTGGCTATAATATATAAATAGTAGAGTTAAATTACATTTGTTCATAAATATTCTCAACGGAAATGACACCATAAACGCTTTAGCCTATTGAAATGAAGCAAAATGTATGACAAACTCCATTGTGTGACTATATAGCCCTTGTCATTTTCATTGCAAAGATGACACTATTGATTTTTCATTGCTTCCCAAAATATCCTAACACAGAACGAACCATAGCATGTCTAGATGCAGTGTTTCCTAAAATGACCATTAGCCTATGTATCTTACCAAAACTACATTTGAAGCATAGGCCTAGCTACTCCCCGAGTCAAGTGTCTCAATAATTCCGTTCAGATTATCCTTATTTTTCCACAATGCATTTTGATTGTATTGACAGCTGTCTGTGTAAGTCTTTAAACATAATTTAACAACACACATGCAATTGTCTGAAACATTTTGTATTATGGATGTTGCTTAATGAAAGACAGAAACACAAGAGACCTCCGATATTAGGCTATTTGTTCAATCATGTCTGATGCCACTTGTGCTGAACAGCAACTCATGAAGGTAGCAGGTGTATTGAACGAATCTAAATTATTTCCTATAAGAAAATATTCAGGCTAGTCTGACTATCTTTGAAATTGTGCTCACTGTGTGGGCTGGGGTTGCTGTGTCTTGGTTGTGTTTGTGCTCACTGTGTGGGCTGGGGTTGCTGTGTCTTGGTTGTGTTTGTGCTCACTGTGTGGGCTGGGGTTGCTGTGTCTTGGTTGTGTTTGTGCGTTTACTTGTAGGCTATATATAGGCTATAAGAAAATGTCATTTTTGGGCTCCTTGTCTGTCACTTGTGTATCTGATGCTAGACTTAACTACAGCAATAATTATGTATCAATTGAGGATTTACTTTGATAGAACCTATTCGTATTGGATTGTGGTTTGTAATTCTAGTTTTCCCTCCATCTCTTTCTTTTACCTAGGCTACAACAGCAAGGGATGTCCCAAGGCTCGGTTCGGTCTTTGGCAGATGATGATGGAACCGTCGATCGACTCGGTCCCGCCTCTAGTCCCGAGGCTAGTTTGTCAAGCAAAGCCGCCACCTCGGCTATCTCGATCACTTCCAGCGACAGCGAATGTGATATCTAATGGCGCACGAGGCAGTCCAGAGGAGGAAGAGGATAAATTCACAGGAGATAAATGAAGGAGATCCTAAAAGACAATCCAACAAAAAAACAGTCATAGTGCCTGCGTTTGAATTTAAAGAAACTGGTCTTCTTTGATGGCTGCCAAAACATGAGGGATCTGACGGAATGCCCTGTCTTAAAGCTATACTTTCTTTTTGTTGTCGTTTTTCCTCTATGGATGACTGAAGCTAATTCAAGCGGACAGAAAATGTAAAGAAAAATCATATTCATATTCACGATCCCTTTTTAGGGAGGACTAATAAACCAATGCCTCAAAAAAAAAAAAAAAAAAAAAAATGAAGACATTTGAGCGCCTAACCTGCTATTTTCTGTGGGTATTTCATGTTGAAAAGACGCTGTTATATTTTTACTTTACTTTTAAAGTTTTATAAATAATGTTTATTTACCTATTTAAATGATTGGCTCTGTTAGAATGTGATATTATTTTGTTTGGTGTTTTTAATATTTACCTTGTGCACAGGTGAACCCGTTGAGCATGTGCGCTTTAGTAAACATGTGTTTCAGTAAAAAAGTAAAAAAATAAGTAAAGATAACTTAATAAAATAATTGTTTATCAAAAAAAAAAAACATCTGTCTTTTTATTTTCAGATTACAACGATTGAGAATGGTATTTGCAGTTATTGTATTACTCGATTATTACTTGATATTATTAGTCTATCTAGTAATTTGGCATGATAAATTAGATTATATTTTGGGGGTTGTGGACGATATTTACAATATGAAATGTGTGACAGAATATTTCAAATATCGTCCTATGATAGGCCTATAGTGTGATGCAGCTTACTGTATCATTTTGTGCCTCTGCATTGCCCTGATGAAGTGGTCTAGGTTATATATCTGAGTATTTTAGGCATGTTAAGTACTTAACTACTAAAAGGCATGATGTGGCGCACACCCCAAAAAAGTTAGTAGATGTGCTGCCTAAGGGAGAGTAAACTTTAGTAGACTATACAAATAAACAGTCGCACAATAAGCTCCCATAAATATATTTGGTAAATCAACGTTTCGGCATTACATTTTCTTCTTCAAGGTGTAATACTTAACTACCACATAGGCTACAGATCTTGAAATGTGGACTCTTGAGTGAGAATTTTGTTTTCTTGTTTATAATGCCACACTTTGAGCACTGACACCTTCTCTACGTAGCCTAATTGACCAACAACATGCTTTGCGTCATGTAATGCGGCATGACAGCCAGAGGTCAGAGAAAGGCCGGCTCACAAAACGAGACGGTCTCCCGGAGTAAAAACAAATTGGCCTACACAACACCATAATATGAAATGCGCTCTGGCTGACGGATGAGTATGGAAATACATAGGCTATTGTCCCACATTTAAATCTCAATAGTGCTATTGTTGTGTATTTCAAATGATGATTTTGTAGCCTAAGCCTATCACATTTAATTTAGATAATTGAATCATCGATTTCTAGGTGATAGGCTAAAACATCTATTCTAAACCATATTTTCTTTATCGCAGAATGAATGTTTGATAACCTAATGTCTGCCACGATTAGCCTATACGCATATGGCCTATTTTTTTATGAGAAGCATACAAAATTATATTTCATTTCTTGGCTATAATGATATCATGTTAGCAAAACTGGTGTTTGAGTAGTCTGTTATTTATATTTGGTCATTAATGGTTCAGTGAAAACACAACGTTTTTAGGAGTAGAACTATATGAATAAAGGTTTGTAGCAGACCAGTTATGAGGCTAAAACACGCAATGGCTAGATAGGCCTGCCCTACATTTGATATTATGATGATATGATCAGTGATGCAGTTTTTATTTTGTGATAGGGTTTACCCATTTAGATAGGCCCTTACGTGTTTTTGTGTGCGTGTTCTTTGTATTAGGGTTTTGCATTGCCTACTATTTGCACATTTTACTGCTAGCATACATCCCTGGTTATGATGAATATATGCATATTAATTAGAACGTAAAGATGAGAGTTAGCTATTAGAACGTAAATATGAGGGTAAACCGTGGCCTACACCTGCTGTAAAAAATGACCATCCCTCTTTACGTGCGCTTATAGGATGTCAGCCCAAATGAGCATCGTAAATAAGGAATGAAAAACAAAGAAGTACTGTTTTTCCAACGGCTCTAGAGTTCTGGGTTGGGGCCTAAACCTGGGTTTTCCAATTAATTACAGTAGCCAGTGAAAGGGACAAGCTGTATTTCTCCAAACGTCTTTCAGCTGGAACAACACAGAAGTCAATGCAATGTTTGAGTTTCTTTCAAATCATTGGAACAAAATGGCTGAATATTTCCGCTTCTATTGAAAATAAGGGCGGCCAGGGGGGATGCATGAAAAGGTATTTGTAGCAGTCAATAAGGTTGTCAAACTGGTCAGCGGTAATCAGCACTAACGATGAGGTCTAGGGTCCCCGCGCGAACAAAGGGGCGCTCCCAATGTTTTGTGAGGGGAAGCAACACGGGTTCCCCTTCAAAGAATGAACTGCAGTCAGGGTAGTCTGCCAGGGGTACGGAAATCAGAACTTTTGTGTAGTGTGTGTGTGTGTGTTTGGCAGCTGCTGCAATGTGAATTCGTGAGTTGGGCGATTAAAAGGATTTAATTACCAATTGATTGACTGTTTTCTGACTTGTACGTTTGCGACAGTCATAACACGTTAATTGTGCTCCAATAAACATGTCGAACATTTTGAATAATACAGAAAAGGCCTCTACGTTTTGAAAATATGTTACGACGTTGCCTATAACCACTGAATCGGGGGTAATTTTAATGACCATTGACTCTTATCCTTTTAGACCTTCATCACTTGTATATCTTGGTAACATGATATCTTCTGGATTTTTATGTCGTTTTTAGGCTATATATAACAATTAAAGCAGGTGGAACACCAATTTCAATGTAGCCTATGTGTCAACCATAATATGAAAGAAGGTTATCTTTCTCTTGAACTCCGATCTCTCTATGCTGTTGCGACTTTATTATGATCGAATCTGTCAAAGCAATTCAGCAGTGATAGCCGACAATGTGATGCGAGCTGGTGTCAGCACTAACAGTGGGCTATGTCTATGTGTGCTATTTCTGCTGCAGCAGTTAGGCCTACATGATAGTGTCTGGCTATTTACCACATACCATTATTATGTCTATATGCGCTTGTCTGAAACAATATATTTGTAAGTAGGCCTATAACTAATCAGTGTTAGTTTATCACTAGGTTATTTTATGCATATATTTTCCAACGGTGATTGTAAGACCACGCTGTAGCCTAATACACAACTAGGCTGTAATATAGGCCTACCTACAACTTCTCCTTTGATTGGTCTGCCATATTTTACTCCACTCTGCTTCCTGTTTAAAGCCCCTGGTTTTAGGTTTATTTTTTATTAGCACATTATAGGCTCTGCTATAGCCAACCTGGTCCCGTGAAAGACCCATTCAAATATAGGCCTATATGTATTTTTTTTTTTTTTACTGTTATTACTGTTATTGTTGTTGTTATTATTGTTATTAATATTATCAGCTGTAACCAAGAGACATTTCCAAAATCTAGGCTATTATTTTCGTAAAACTGATATTACGGACTGAATAGCCCTTGCCATAGAGCGGACCATTCACCTTTTGCCTGAGTTTTCCCTGTTTTCTCTAAAGCGGATGAGGTCATTCAATTATGGAGAAACATAAATGCATTTAAGTGCCTTGTCCTCCTCCCTCTTAATTAGCGAAGCTCTCAAGAAGGACCCCTCACTGCCCCATCCCAGTAGAGCCAATCTGCCGCGTCTCCCCACAATGTGTTCATTTGATTTGAACACTTTCTTGATGTCGTCTCTGCCAGTGACTGTTGTTTAAAACTTATGTCGCTTGGTTTGTTTCTCTTAAATGTCCATGAATGTTTCATGTGTGTTTCGACCTGTTCCCTAATTATTATAGTTGTTTCACAGTTGGTTTTGGTATTTTAACCTGCGTGTCATGAACGCCACTGGTGGGACGCCTCTGGTGGGATATACAAAATCAACTTGCGCACGATGGCGCACGCAGGACCGGTTTGGCCAAGGTGTGTTTAAATGTAACAATTTCATGTTGGCTTCTTCACAGTCATGTTTTATTTGTTCGGTTTTTTATTGTTGGCTATATCCCCGGCCAGGACCACACTAGCTCTTTGGCTCGTTCATTCAGCAAGAACAGCGAATTCACTGGAAACAGTCAGCTATCAGTACAAATTACCCACCCCAATGTTCTATTATTAATAGGAATCCTCAACGTATTTTATACTCCAGAAAATTGCTTATTTGTAAATAAGCTACATTATGTTTGTTCGTGTTTGTGTCGCATATGTTTCATTGAAGTCAGATACTTTCTTCACTGGACCATTTTCTCTTTCATAATTTAAGTTCGCAGAATGACGCTAGCGTATTTATCCTGTATTCAAGTTTATAAACATTTCACAAAAGATGGCATGAAGGCAGGCGTTTCATAATATTCTCGCTGAGAATGCTACGGATGACCTCTGGTGGTGATATTGGGTGGTACTGACCTGCTTACTAGACCCAGCTGTCACGCTAACCTACACTTCTACTATCATAACGAATTATAGGCTATATATGTTATTTAAAGTTCAAATAGTTCCATTGTGTTAGAATTGGTTTCCAGAAATATTGCTACTTTCTTGGTATGCATCCAACAGAGTGCAATAAACCCACATAGCCTAATATCCTCCATAACCGGTTGTCCTATACAGTGGGGAAAAAAAGTATTTAGTCAGCCACCAATTGTGCAAGTTCTCCCACTTAAAAAGATGAGAGAGGCCTGTAATTTTCATCATAGGTACTCGTCAACTATGACAGACAAAATAAGAAAAAAAAATCCAGGAAATCACATAGTAGGATTTTTAATGAATTTATTTGCAAATTATGGTGGAAAATAAGTATTTGGTCAATAACAAAAGTTTCTCAATACTTTGTTATATACCCTTTGTTGGCAATGACACAGGTCAAACGTTTTCTGTAAGTCTTCACAAGGTTTTCACACACTGTTGCTGGTATTTTGGTCCATTCCTCCATGCAGATCTCCTCTAGAGCAGTGATGTTTTGGGGCTGTCGCTGGGCAACACGGACTTTCAACTCCCTCCAAAGATTTTCTATGGGGTTGAGATCTGGAGACTGGCTAGGCCACTCCAGGACCTTGAAATGCTTCTTACGAAGTCACTCCTTCGTTGCCCGGGCGGTGTGTTTGGGATCATTGTCATGCTGAAAGACCCAGCCACGTTTCATCTTCAATGCC